CAGGTGATGAGAAGGAGAAAAGAGAGAAGGAGAGAAGAGCTGTGGCCCTTTGAGGAGCCCAGACCTAGGAGCTCCACGAACCGGGGCTGTGACACCCTATTTGGGGCTCTGCAGTTTCTGGCATCTCCAAGCTTCTGGGCACCACAGCGTTCCCTGGTGCCAGCTGTGGAAGCTGCTTGCAGTATGCCTGGTCCATCTGAAGACTCACAGGGAGCCAGCACCCGTGCCAGCACGTGGAACTGCCCACCCCACCACAGCCAATGTGCCTGGCTGTGAGCAGTGGCCAGATCCCACACTTGCTCACTCACACACCCCTTGACACTCCACGCCTGGCTCACCCTTGGCAGGCATGGGATTCAGGCCAGTAGTGTGAACTGAGCACAGCCTGCCAGGCTGAGTAGGTGGAATGAGCCCAGTGGGCCTGAGCAAAACTTGAGCAAAGGTGCCACTGACCGCAGAGATTTCTGGCCAGGAACGTGACACCCCATCTATGTGCATACCACCCTGAAGGGGCCTGATCTTGTCTGATCTTGGAAGCTAAGCAGAGTCAGGCCTGGTTAATACTTGGATGGGAGAAAAGCGATGCCCCAAGGATCCTGTGACACACAAGTAGCTGGAATCACAGGTGTGATCCACCACATCCAGTTAATTTTTTAAAATTTTATTTTATAGAGATGGGGTCTCCTTATGTTGCCCAGGCTGGTCTCAAACTCCTGTGCTCAAGCGATCCTCCTGCCTCAGCCTCCCAAAGTGCTGGTATTATAGGTGTGAGCCACTGTGCCTGGCTAGATGCCCACTTTTACTATGATTATTCACTGGAAATCCTGGCCAGAGCAGTTAGGTAAGAACATAAACTAAATGGCATCCGAACTGGAAAGAAATAAATAAAATTAGTCTTGTTCGTAGACGACTTGATTTTATACATAGAAATACCTAAAGGCCCTACCAAAAAAACTATTAGAACTGATAAACAAATTCAGTAAAGTTGCAGGATACAGAATTAACACACAAAAATCAGTACCATTTATATACACCAACAGCAAACAATCTGAAACAGAAATCAAGAAAGCAATCCCATTTACAAGGTACAAAAATATAAAATATCTAGAAATCAGTCTAACCAAAGTAAAAGATCTATATAAGGAAAACTATAAAACTCTGAAAAAAATAGAAGAGGACACAAAAAAAATGGAAAGATATTCCATGCTCATGGATTGGAAGAATTAATATTGTTAAAATAACAGTACTACCCAAAGCAATTTATAGGTTCAATGCAATCCCTATCAGAATAGTAATAACATTCTTCACAGAAATAGAAAAAAAGCTTAAAATATATATGAAACCACAAAAGACCCCAAATAACCAAGGCAATAGTGACCGAAAAGAACAAAGCTGGAGGCATCACACTACCTGACTTCAAAATTCACTACAAAGCTATAGTAATCAAAACAGCATGGCACTGGCAAAAAAAAAAAAAAAAAAAAAAAAAGCAGACACACAAGTCAATAGAACAGAATAGAGAAACAAGGTATAAATTATTTACAACCAACTCATCTTTAAGAAAGGCACTAAGAATATACAATAGAGAGAGGACAGCCTCTTCAATAAATGGTGCTGAGAAAACTGGCTAACTATATGCCAAAGAATGAAACTAGACCACTGTCTCTTACCATAAGCAAAAATAAAATCAGATGGTTTAACAACTTAAATGAAAGACCTAAAACTATGAAAGTACTAGAAGAAAACACTGGGAAATGTTCCAGGACATTTATCTGGGCAAATATTTTTTGTGTAAGACTTCCAAAGCACAAGCATCCAAAGCAAAAATAGACAATTGGGATTTCATGAAGCTAAAAGGCACAGCAAAGGAAACAATTAACAAAGTGAAGAGATAGCCCACAGAATGGGAGAAAATATTTGCAAACCATCCATCTGACAAGGGATTAACAACAGGAATATATAAGGAACTCAACTCAATAGCAGAAATACAAATCATCCAATTTAAAAATGGGCAAAAGATCTGAATAGATATTTCTCAAACGAATACATACAAATAGGTAACAGGTATATGAAAAAATACTCAACATCGCTAATCATCAGGGAAATGCAAATCAAAACCACAATGAGATATCACCTTAACCCAGTTAAAAGCTTGTATCTAAAGACAGGCAATAGCAAATGCTGGAGAGGATGTCGACGCAAGGGAACCTGGTACACTGCTTGTGGGAATGTAAATTAGTACAGTCATTATGGAGAACAGTATGAAAGTTCTTCAAAAAACTAAAACTTGATCCGGCAATTCCACTGCTAGAGATATATACCCCAAAGGAAGGAAATCAGTGTATCAAAGAGATATATGCACTCTGTTTATTACAGTATCATTCACATTAGTCAAAATATGTAGTCAGGCTGGGTGTGGTGGCTCATGCCTGTAATCTCAGCACTTTGGGAGGCCAAGGAGGGTGGTTCACTTGAGATCAGGAGTTCGAGACCAGCCTGGCCAGCATGGTGAAAACCCATCTCCACTAAAAATACAAAAATTAGCTGGGCATGGTGGCACATGCCTGCCAGCTACATGGGAGGCTCAGGCAGGAGAATTGCTTGGACCTGGGAGGTAGAGGTTGCAGTGAGCTGAGATCACACCACTGCACTCCAGCCTGGGCAACAAAGTGCCACTCTGTCTCAAAAACAAACAAACAAACAAACAAAACTCAAAAAACCAAAAACCCTCCAAAAGATGTAGTCAACCTAAGTGTCCATCAGTGGATGAATGGATAAAGAAAATGTGATATATATGCAATGGAATATTATTCAGCCATAATAAGAATGAAATTTGCAACAGCATGGTTGGAAGTGGAAGATATTATGTTAAGTGAAATAAGCTAGGCACAGAAAGACAGACATGTCATGTTCTCACTCATATGTGGGAGCTAACAAGATGGGTCTCATGAAGATAGAGAATAGACTGGGGTTACCAGAGACCAAGAAGGGTACAGGAGAAGGGGAATGAAAGGAAAAAAGAGAATGCAAATGTATTTATTACCACTGAAGTGTACACTTAGAAATTGTAAAGATGGTAAATTATGTATGTGTATTTTATCTCAAAACAATTTTTAAAAAATTATTTAAGTTCTAAAGTACATGTGCACAATGTGCAGGTTTGTTACATAGGTATACAAACATGGTGGTTTGCTGCACCCATCAACTCGTCATTTACATTAGGTATTTCTCCTAATGCTATCCCTCTCCCATTCCCCCATCCCCCAACAGGCCCTGGTGTGTGATGTTTCCCACCCTGTGCCCAAGTGTTCTTATTGTTCAATTCCCACCTATGAGTGAGAACATGCAGTGTTTCTGTCCTTGTCATAGTTTGCTGAGAATGATGTCCCTGCAAAGGACATGAAGTCATCCTTTTTTATGGCTGCATAGTATTCCATAGTGTATATGTGCCACATTTTCTTAATCCAGTCTATCACTGATAGACATTTGGGTTGGTTCCAAGTCTTTGCTATTGTGAATAGTGCCACAATAAACATAAGTGTGCATGTGTCTTTATAATAGTATGATTTATAATCCTTTGGGTATATACCCAGTAATGGAATCACTGGGTCAAATGGTATTTCTAGTTCTAGATCCTTGAGGAATTGCCACACTGTCTTCCACAATGGTTGAACCAATTTACACTCCCACCAACAGTGTAAAAGCGTTGCTATTTCTCCACATCCTCTCCAGCTTCTGTTGTTTCCTGACTTTTTAATGATCCCCATTCTAACTTGCGTGATATGGTGTCTCATTGTGGTTTTGATTTGCATTTCTCTGATGACCAGTGATGATGGGCATTTTTTCATATGTCTGTTGGCCGCATAAATGTCTTCTTTTGAGAAGTGTCTGTTCATATCCTTTGCCCACTTTTTGATGGGGTTTTTTTGTTTTTTGTTTTTTGTTTTTTTGTTTGTTTTTTTTTGTAAATTTGTTTAAGTTCTTTGTAGATTCTGGATATTAGCCCTTTGTCAGATGGGTAGATTGCAAAAATTTTCTCCCATTCTGTAGGTTGCCTGTTCACTCTGGTGGTAGTTTCTTTTGCCATGCAGAAGCTCTTTAGTTTAATTAGATCCCATTTGTCAATTTTGTTGCCATTGCGTTTGGTGTTTTAGTCATGAAGTCCTTGCCCATGCCTATGTCCTGAATGGTATTGTGTAGGTGTTCTTCTAGAGTTTTTATGGTTTTAGGCCTAACATTTAAGTCTTTAGTCCATTTTGAATTAATTTTTGTATAAGGTGTAAGGAAGAGATCCAGTTTCAGCTTTCTGCATACAGCTAGCCAGTTTGCCCAGCACCATTTATTAAACAGGGAATCCTTTCCTCATTTCTTGTTTGTCAGGTTTGTCAAAGGTCAGATGGTTGTAGATGTGTGGTGTTACTTCTGAGGCCTTTGTTCTGTTCCATTGGTCTATATCTCTGTTTTGGTACCAGTACCATGCTGTTTTGGTTACTGTAGCCTTGTAGTATAGTTTGAAGTCAGGTAGCGTGATGCCTCCAGCTTTGTTCTTTTGGCTTAGGATTATCTTGGCAATGTGGGCTCTTTTTTGGTTCCATATGAGCTTCAAAGTAGGTTTTTGCAATGCTGTGAAGAAAGTCATTGGTAGCTTGATGGGGATGGCATTGAATCTATAAATTACCTTGGGCAGCATGGCCATTTTCATGATATTGATTCTTCCTATCTGTGAGCATGGAATGTTCTTCCATTTGTTTGTGTCCTCTTTTATTTCGTTGAGCAGTGGTTTGTAGTTCTCCTTGAAGAAGTCCTTCACATCCCTTATAAGTTTTATTCCTAGGTATTTTATTCTCTTTGAAGCAATTGTGAATGGGAGTTAACTCATGATTTGGCTCTCTGTTTGTCCGTTATTGGTGTATAGGAATGCTTGTGATTTTTGCACATTCATTTTGTATCCTGAGACTTTGCTGAAGTTGCTTATCAGCTTAAGGACATTTTGGGCTGAGATGATGGGGTCTTCTAAATATACAATCATGTCATCTGCAAACAGGGACAATTTGACTTCCTCTTTTCCTAATTGGATACCCTTTATTTCTTTCTCTTGCCTGACTTCCCTGGCCAGAACTTCCAACCCTATGTTGAATAGGAGTGGTGAGAGAGGGCATCCTTGTCTTGTGCTGGTTTTCAAAGGGAATGCTTCCAGTTTTGGCCCGTTCAGTATGATGTTGGCTGTGGGTTTGTCATAAATAGCTCTTATTATTTTGAGATACATTCCATCAATACCTAGTTTATTGAGAGTTTTTATCATGAAGGGCTGTTGAATTTTGTCTAAGGCCTTTTCTACATCGATTGAGATAATCATGTGGTTTTTGTCGTTGGTTCCGTTTATGTGATGGATTACATTTATTGATTTGTGTATGTTTTTTAAAAAAGCTCAGAAAGTGTCTGGGGATGTTGAAACAGATGCTTGGTCACTTGCCTTGATTTGCATGGGGCTGAAACAGGAACGAGAATTCAGTCCAGAGACAGGGTTCAGAGCTGTCAGAAGAACTGAAGTAATTTGAGGTGGGTCCTGAAGCTAGATGAGAAACAGGCTATGAGACCTTGGAGAGAAAATCACCATGAGGGAGAGAAGAGAACAGCAAAGCGGTCTGACTGAGCAGGTGGGGGCTGACTGTTTGGCCATGCTAGCCTCTTTGATTCAGCTCACTCCTCCCAGGGCTCATGTGGTTAGGGGATTAAGGAAAGGAGAGGGGTATGGAAGAAAACAGATGGCCTGTGTCCGGGGAGGCTCAAGATCCTGGTAGAGGAAACTCCTTCCAAAAGACCTAGTTATGAGAAGCAGTGCAGTGCAGTAGAAGGATTATTTGGGCCAAGTAGGAGGCCAACATTCCAACTGTTGGAATGTAGCCACTCTGTTTCTAGGTGGGACACTCACCTGCCAGGAATTTCTGATGTATTTGGTGAGGTAAATTTATGAGAAAGCAGGACTTCTCACAAATTATCGTGCAAATATGACCTGGATTGTTTTCACAAACTGGTCAAATCCATTGTAGATCCCACCCACCTCTACTCAACTTTAATCTGTGCTGTCCAATGTGGTAGCCACTGGCCACATGTGGCTATTGAGCTCTTGAAATATGACTAGTGTGACTGAAGAGCTGAATTTTAAATGTTATTTAATTTTAATTAATTAAAAATTTAATTTAAAAACTTAAGCTGTGTAAAATATTTGTCCTGTAAAACTTATAAGAAAAATTTGAAACGGGATTTTTTTATGTTGATAAATTTAGACTTGATTCTTAATATATGTAATACCTCCTTGAACATGATGTTAATAAATACTGAATGAGATGGAAGAGTTAATGAATTTACTTAACTTGGACAGGTGGGATTTTGAAACTGATGTGCTTTTGCTTCAAAGTCACATTAACTCTTCTGAAAAAGATGAACCATTTATGTCAAGGTGGATGTGAAGATCAAAGGAAAACAAATTTTGTGATCTTAAATTCAGTTATTGGAAAACTTTTAAGTGTGTTTGGAACAGCTTGGGTACGTCAATCTACTTTTTCAACTATCAATTTTATGAAATCTAAATATAGCTCAAGTATTTCTGATGAAGATTTAATATCTGAATTGAGATGGGCTATCAAGGTAAAACATAAGCCAGATTTCAAACTTAGTACCAAAAATATAAAACTCTCATTAATAATTTAAAATATGATTACATTATGAAATAATAGAATTTTGGACATAACAAGATAATTAAGATATATTAAAATTAATTTTACCTGTTTATTTTTCCCTGTTTAAAATATGGCTATTAGAAAAATTAACATTACATATGTAGCTTGCATTCTGTTTCTATTGGACAGTGCTAATCTAGATTATTTAAGGGCAGGTTCACATTTTGTACGTCTTCATATTCTTGGCACCTAACATGGCATTGACATATAACAGGGGCTGAATAAATATTTATTGAGGAAGAGGATTTAGTTTTGGAGGGAGCTTTCCACTACTCAGCATGATTGTTGCTCTGGTGAACTGCTAAGACTGAATTCCCAAAATAATGTGTAAACCCACTATTTCACTTCCTCAGGACAATTTATTACCCTACATGTTTCTCTTGCTTCTTTTCTTTTGGTTGCTGGTACTAAACAATGAGGGGCTGAACCTACCACTAGTCTATTGATTTCCTGTCCCCTCTCCTTTTGTTTTCTTCTCAAAGCAACCACAACACCATTAATTATCATTCAGGAAGTTAGTGACAACTTGTCTTAATCATCTTGTCAGGTTTGCCTTTGTCTTTTTAGTTTAAAGTTGTGAACCCCATTTATACATCTTTCCTGTCTAGGATATCGATAAGAACTTTAGCTGCAGATAAAAACAAAACAAAAACAAAGTAGCCATGACTTGTCCAAAGAAATTTAGTAGCTTGTTGCTCATCCATTTTGCAAAGCCCTTTCTTTAAGCTGCAACGTGGTTTTTTGTCCAGTCCCAGAATTGCACTGAAAACTGGACTCCCTGTGGTGCAAATTACCTTCCGCTCTCAGGAGGAGCAGGAGAAAATGGAGTATTTTCTCTTGGGCATGATAGTGAACATTCTGTCGACTCTGCAGCACCGCATGTCTATGCTGGGATCTGTTCTGTTCCTGCTCAACCTTTTGTCCAAAATAACCAGTCGATATGATCCAGTCAAACCAGTTACTTCAGCTGAGAAAACAGTTTGCTGTATTTCTTCACTAAACTAGCAGACTAATTTCTCAAACACAATGGTGCTTTTGTGTCAGGGGACTGAGTTTCCAATCAAGAATGGGTAAAGACACAGCCTGGGCCATCCTTTCCCCTTCTTGTGTATTGGGGTGTCCCAACTGGAAGTGCTAGGCAAACCTTTATGAATGGCTTGAGGTCAGATAACTATGTGGGGAATATGAAGTATGGAGTGCTTCTGTCTGATATTATTAGAGCTGTCATATAATGTTTTAGCATAAGTATGTCTCATGCAACATGTGGGACATACTTATACTAAAAACTTATTCATTTTTTTATCTGAAATTTAAATTAAACTGGGCATTCTATATATTTTTATTTGCTAAGTCTGGCAATCCCAGATAAGATTCTAGATTTGTCTCCAAAGAAACAACCCATCCTTTTCTCAAAACAAGCAAGACAATGTAAGGGTTTATAAAATAATATCTATGGGGTGTGTGGAGACAATCAGAGACAGGCATGGTGCTTGATGGTTCTTGCTAAATCATCTTGCTGAAAACCAAGTGCGGTCAGACTCAGATGTCTATTTTCATACCTTTGAGGACAAAATGAATCTATGAAGGGGCTGTGAAAACTGTGACGTGCCGCTCTGTCTGCTTTGCTTTACTTATCCTTTGCATTGTTGATCCTCCAGGGAGCACACCTGCACTCACCAAGGCTGTAAACCCATGAGGGCAGAAACTGGGTCTTCTTTTTATTGGTATCCCCAAAATGCACCGAAATGTCTGGGCACCAGTACATGCTAAGAAGTGTTACAGATGATCATGAAGGTAAGATTTAAGGATCTTGATCTAAAAGAATGTTGAATCTGAAAGCCAATGGATCCTCTAGCAATCCCATTGGGAGTTAACACAGCCCTCCAGAAGCCAGGCCAGAGGCCAGTGGAGTTGCCTGGTGTGGAAATAGCGCTCGGTTGTGTTTCAGGAGGTGTCTATTGGGAGCCCTGCTGTGGTCTGCTCCAGAACAAATGCTCTGTCCTTGACACCAGTACAAACAGCAGCCTCCCCTGCCACCTGTCAGTGAACCACCGCCAAAGCATAATTGTACCGGGATGTCGTGAGAGGAAGCCTGATTTAAACAAGGCCCTGGCAGAGTTGGGGGGCCAGCAGCGCCTTCTCATACCTGTTAATGAAGCCTCATTAGAAACAGCAAGAGCCTGTGCTGGGAACTGGAAGCACCAGTCTGCCATGGCTCTCCCTGCCAAAGGGTGATTAACTGAATGATTTACGGCAGCTGCTCTTGGAGATGATGGTGTGGAGGAGACCGAGCGTGTGCAACCCTGCACAGTGTGCTGTCTGGTGGAAACTCAGGAGTATGCGCAGATTCCTTCTCCCCTCTTTCCAGCGGCCGAAACGACTTCCAGGTTCTAAAAACTGCATGGCCATTCAGTCATAGAAGTACCTCCCTTTGATAGCTGACCTTTCGGGGACTCTCACCTTTGAAGCCTCCAGCTACCTTTAGGTTAGGAATTTAGGTCTTGCCTGAGGGGCCAAAAATTAATAGTAACGAGAAAGAAAGCAAAGAAACAGACCTCAGTGTCTTGTGCATCCAACATAGCAAGGCCAGCCACACACTTTGTTTTCTGGCAGGACTCTTGTATCCAGGTGGTTCAATTATGGGCAGCCCCATAGTGTGCAGCTATGGAGGAGATGGATACTTTGCTAAAATGTAGTTTTAGGGCGTCTTGCCTATTTCCATGTCTCGAACAACAAACTGACCTATGTCAAGGTTCTATGCACATTGTAAATAGCTGTTCTGCTCATGTGATCTTTAATACAATTCCTTTGCTCCTGTAGGCCAAAAAGGAAAACCAGTTGTAGCAATTCCAACAAGGATACCACATATCTTGCCTTTTTTTTTTCTTTTTTGAGACAGTCTTGCTCTGTTGCCTAGGTTGGAGTGTAGTGGCGCAATCTCGGCTCACTGCAACCTCCGCCTCCAGGGTTCAAGCAATTCTCCTGCTTCAGCTTCCTGAGTAGCTGGGACTACAGGTGCCCGCCACCCAAGCCTGGCTAATTTCTGTATTTTCAGTAGAGACGGGGTTTCACCATATTGGCCAGGCTGGTCTCGAACTCCTGACCTTGTGATCTGCCCACCTTGGCCTCCCAAAGTGCTGGGATTACAGGCATGAGCCACCGCACCCAGCCACCTTGCTTCTCTTATAAGCAATCCTTAAGGATAAATAAATGTTCTTTTGTTTGTGTGGGCCTTGGCTATTCGGACCCTCAGGTATGGGGGTTTTCAAATGTACCCGTGTTGGATACACCCCCCTGTCTGGATTAGCAGCTCAGAAACACAAAGACTCAGCTTGGATATTTTGGTCCGTAATTCTGTGTGATAGGTAGACCGACAGAAGTTTGAGGGAAGAATGATGAAATTAAGGTTGGGTTTTTTTTTTTTTTGGTTGTTTGGTTTTTTTTTTTTCCTTTCAGTTTTAGAGACACTGAGAACCTGTGGTAGGACACAGGTGGTGGTTTCAATTTTAATCAGAAGGCAAGAGAGTCTTGGCTGGGTAGGTGGCAGATGCATGAACTATATTTGGCCGGCTTAGGCCCTGAGAGAACTGGGGAAAGGACCCTGGAAGAAAATTCTGAGGCTGTAAGTGGGGTGAGCAACCACAGTGTAATTAATCCCCCACTTAGATTGAATGGGTTTAGACTGGGCTGAGACTGAAGTTCCCTTTTAACTGATTGAGAGGTGCTCTGCCAATAGCAAGTGAAATGTGTGTGTCTGCACATGAATATGCATGCAGAGTATATTAAAGAGGTCTGAATGCTCCATGATGCCTGTAATTATGAAACATGCAATAAAGCACCACATTAATCCCCTCTCGAGCAAGAGCGTTGTTTTTTGTCCCAGACTGCGGCAATCCTGCATGCCACGAGCACTGCTTTTGCCTCCACAGCACTTTTATGTTGACAAACCCAAGAGCAGGTGACCCTAGGGAGGCAGATGGCGTCACACTCAAGGGAATCCTTCCAGAAGCCTTCAAGCATAGCTCTGCGAGCAAAGGCCGGGCAGGTAAAGTGATATCCATCTTGAACCTATAGTGAGTTGAACAAGGTGGGCAAACTGGACGCTGCGCACAAAGCATTTATTTGAAGGAGGACAAGGGAGGCTGCTCAAGCTACAGACTACTCAGATTAAAGCAGAAGGACCCTCTCCACTTCCAAGAAGCTTTTCAGCTCAAGCTGAATTAACCAGGGAATCCAGCAGGGACTGGAACTCAGGAGAAAGCTCCTCAAGCAACTTCACGGGTCAGCTGATGAGGAAGGGTGTTTTCTTCATGAAAGGAGGAAGTTTCTCCATCAGCTGAAAGGAAACACATAGGAGTCAGAGGCAATGGGCGAGGAAAATGGGTCATTCTGTCACAACGGGATGACGAGAAAGGGGGCTGTCTCATGAAAGCATCTGGCCTTCGGAACAAGATAGTTTTGGATTTTAAATCATTACTCCATGGTTATTTGCTGTGAGACCTTGGGCCATGACTTAAGCTCTCTGAGGCTTTGTTTCCTGTCTGTAAAAGAGGGATCACGATGTTGTTTTGGCAGGGTTTGGGGGATAAACAAAAATAATCAAGAGTCAGGTCTGCGCTGGCACTCACTAAATGAATGTAGCACATAGATTCTTAGCAAGTAACTCAGCCTAACTCACTGCTCTTGGTGTTTGTTTAAACTGACTTTGTGTGTTTATTCAGATGCTCATAGGCATCTGAAAAAAAATTAGGAACATCTGGCTTTTATAATCAACAAAAATCAATTCAATAAAAGACAGTTGGAGAGGAGCTGGATGACATATTTTCCATTTGAAAGCAGGGCGTGGTTAGGTCGCTTCCTTGAGTCTCTCCCGCCTGCTGAATAAAGAGAGGTTACACTGTTGGAGAGCGCAGGAGACCTGGGCTCCGGTCCCAGTGCTGTCTCCGCCTCCTGTGTGATCATGTGCAAATCTTTTTCCGTTCTGGGTCTTTGTGTTCTCTCTTGAATCAGGAGGGATTGAATGATACGATCACCAAGCTGTCTCTATTCCTTACTCAACATATGTCAGAGAAGGGGCCTTGGAGGGAAATAAGAAGGCAGAGAACTATGATACAAAATCAGGGCCTGGGTTTCTGGAAAGAGTTGGCAAGGCAACTAAGGCCCAAGGCTGATGTACATGCCTCCAGAATCCTTATCTATTAAAAAAAGAGTGAGGGCAAGTGTGTGTGTATAATTATGGCAGACTAACTCAACTGCTATTCCCAACCCCTTGCCTGCCTCCACTATGGAGTCTGGAAAAGCTAAAGAGTTGCTTTCTCAGCCTCCCTTGCAGATGGATATGGCCAGTATAAGCAGGTTCTGGTCTATGAGATATAAGGGACAGTCCACTGCAAGCCTCCAAATTCTTTCCTTCACTGATTAAAGGAGAGGGCCACTCAAGAAAAAGCCTTTTTTTTTTTTTTGCTGCTGCCTCTTCTCTCCCACTTCTGGCCATGAATGAGGATGTGATATTTGGATCTGTGGCTGGCATGTGGTAACAAAGATAAAAAGCCAATGTTATCATGGTATGTTAGAAAGATGAAAAAAGCTTGAGTCCTTACCGAAATCTTTGAACAGCCTAGATCACCTGTTTCTGGGACTCTTAAATAAATGGTTTACACATCTTTGCTAGTCAGAGTGTGGTCTGTGGAGCAGCAGTATAGTCACCCCCCTGGGAGCTTGTTAGAAAGGAAGACTCTCAGACCCCACCGCAGATGTACTGAAGCAGAATCTGCATTTTAAAAAGATGCCCAGCCGGGGTGTCACGGCTCACACCTGTAATCCCAGCTATTCTGGAGGCTTAGGTGAGAGGATCACTTGAGCCCAGGGTTTTGAGTCGAGACCAGCCTGGGCAACACAGCGAGACGAGACCCTGTATCCCCGCACCCCCGCCAAAAAAAAAGATGCCCAGGGTTTTGAGTGCACATTAGTTTCAGGAGCACTGGTTTATAGCCTCATTAATTAGGTTCTATTACAAACAACTGAAACATTCCTAACAGCTATTATGTACATCCTAGGTATACACATGTGTGTGAATGTATGTGTGTATATATGTACGCATACGTGTGTATATATACATACATAAATATGCATACATATAGAAAATGTATTAGTATGTGAATATATATTATATATATAATTTGTATGTGGATAGGAAAGGAAGGACACAGCTAGGCTGTGGGAATGGGTGCCTATGTGAGAGGAAGTCTGGGGTGATTTCTTAAATACTTCTACAGTGTTTGGAAAATAATTATTTTTAAAGCCATGAATATGCATCCCTTATTGACGCAGAAGCGAGGCTTACCCGCTCTCCTCCCTGTCCAGCAGGGCGTGGTAGGACGCCACGTCCTTCTGCAGCTGGCACTTGCGGGCCAGCAGATGCGCGCGCTCCTGTTGCTGCTGCTCCGCCTCCGCGCGGATCTCGCTGAGCTCCGCCTCCAGCCTGCCGACCACAGCGCCCAGGTTCTGGAGCTCCATGTCATGCCAGTGCTTGGCATCGTGCAAGGTGTTCTCCAGGCCTCGTTTCTGCAAAAGAGCGAACCTGGTCCAAACCCGAGGACGACAGGCCGGGCCCTTGAAGAGAGAGGTGTGCAGAGCAGTGGCAGGGGCTGGTGGTAGCCTGGACTATTCCCCCTGTGGCGGGGACCTTGCCAGTTACGGAGGCTGACGGGGGTTATTATTCTTAGTGGCTCCGTGGGAAAAATAAGGAATCCCACTCAGGTCAGACTGTCGATTAGTCTGATTGAATGACCTTTTTGATGGGAGAGAGGGAGGGAGAAAAGAAAGGGGGTGTGAGAGAGGAGTGGAGCAAGAGGGAGAGGGATTGAGAAAGACAAATGGGAGGCAGCTTGCAGGTGTTTCTTCAAAGAAATCTTGTTCTCCGGGGCTTTTTCTTCTGATTTTTTCACTCCCCGGGGGACCCCTTCTCCCTGTGCTGCGGAAACCCCATCCATCATTTGGCTAGAATCTCCTCCAGCATTCTTTCCCAGATCACTGTCCTCAGAATGAATGTCTCTGGCCTTTATATACTCAGCATTTTCCCCTTTGCTGTTTTAGTAGCACATTTTTGCCTATCCCTTTTCCTCTGCCGTCCCCTCACTGTGGGCTCCCCAGTGCCCACCCTGAGCCTGCTTTTTTTCCGAGCAGTGCGTCCTGGGTCTATGTTGGTCTCCATCATACTCATGATTTGAACAGTCGTCTCCAGGCCACGTCCTGCGTTGGTAATTCCACCACCAATCTTTTCTTCAGTAGCTATGGACCTGCCACTGAACTTCTTACTGGAAATATATATTCAGACTTCACATCAAGGTGTCCAAAATGAAGCCACTGGCTGCCTCCTGAACCTGCTGGCTCCTCCTAGTCTAAGCTTCAACTGGTGAACCCATGTGAGCTAGAAACTGGGGAAAGATGTGTTCCTGCTTTCCTTCGTTCTCTTCTTCCAAATGCAACCATCACGGCTTCCTGTATATTATGAGTCCTGCTTCTTGTACCTCTTGAGAAGTTTTCACATTATGCAGCCACCATGGCCTGGGATTGGAAGCTTGTCACCTCTCACCTGTGGTACCCTCAGTGGCCTCTTAGCTCATCTCCCCACCTCTAGTTCCTCCTCTTCCTGAGTTCCACACACAAATAGCCACAGTGCTCTGTCGAAAGCCTAAACCTGGGCCTGTATCTCCTCTGCTTAAACTCCATTGATGGCTCCCCAGGGCCCCTAATACGGCTCACACAGCTGGCCCAGTATCTTTCCATCTTTATCCCCACCCTACGGCAGCATCAACACTTCCAGTCTTGGAGTTTATTTGGTCTGTGTTGTTTCCTCCACCTGCACCATGCTCCTCCATTCCTTCCAGCATCCTCACCTCACTCACTCCTACTCATCC